AGCGCTGTGTCGCCGCCGCCGGCGCCACCCGACTGCGAGTAACAGCGCCGCCTCCGCGAGCCTTCCAGCCCCACTGCTTAAATGATACTTTGGAATGCAATAGTTGAATTTCCCCAATTATCAGAAAGATTCTATTGACTGTTTTGAAAACCAAGGCAAATGAGGGGCTTCCTTATTTCACTTGGTTATGTCTCTTAAAGTTCCTTTAATGGAGAACAGTTAACTCCATCCCTGTATTCTGCTCTTCCACCCTTCCTTAGTGTTACTCGTGGAATAGACCCAATCAGTTGTCCTGTAGAATATGCCATCTCCTGGATTTGTTCGATTGCTTCTTTCTGGTAGCATTTAAATTTTCACATTGACCTCTGTTTGGATCGGGAATTTGTAAAAGGCTTGATAGTTTCAGGTGAAATATATTTGAGAATATTTATAAGAGATGTTGTGTACTTCATGCTGTACCATGTGAGAGGGCGCCTAATGTCAGATGGTCAAACTATTAATGCGCTGGAGTCGATCCCTGGATTAAGAGGTCCACAGCTCAATCCCTCCATTGAGAGTTGTCTTTTTCTTGCAACCAGCAAATAAGTATTGGGGTGAGATTTGGGGACTGTGGAAATATCATTTCACTCAATTTAACATCTTTGATGATTCCTTCTGAGTTAAATTTTTCATCATCTGGAGTTTTTGGCTATTCTGAACATCAGATCCTAATAAAAATGAAAAAAAAAATGCTTACTCTGTTTAATTACTACGATTACTAATTTTATGAATAAGGACTTGTAACAGTCATCTCCAATGGTGGCACATAAGGCTTTTATTTTTATCTTATTTTATTATTATTACTTTTTTAAAGAGACAGCATCTCATTGTCACCCAGGCTGGAGTGTAGTGGTCCAGTCATAGCTTACTGCAGTCTCAAACTCTTGGGTTCAAACAATCCTCCTGCCTCAGCCTCTCAGGTAGCAGGGACTACAGGCACATGCCACCATGTCCAGTTAACTTTTTACTTTTTTTGTGGAGATGGGGTCTTGCTATGTTGCCCAGCTTGGTGTCAAACTCCTGACCTCAAGCAATTCTCCCATCTCAGCTTCCTAAAGTCTTTATTTTTTTGTTGTGTTGTCTTGTTTTTAATTTGCATTTTGTCTTTCTTTTTTTTGAGTATTTTGATCAATGCATAGATTTTTGTATATTCTGTATATTTCAGTCAAATAGAGTGAGAAAGCAAAGTGGATCAGAGTAGTCTGAGGTCTGTAAAATTTATCAGGCTTAGAGAGACATGAGCATGAGACTTCAGTCACATCCCCTGCACCCATATTTAGGGGTAATTGTTTAAAGACATTTTGTTTTTTCTTTCCCTCTCTGTACTTTTCAGACTAGTTGATATATTATCAAAATGTTACCACAAAGTACAATATGACACTCACCTATTACCTGCATGTTCCTGGAATTTGTGATATAAAGAACAATGGATAGCCAGTGGGTAGCTTATGTGATTTTAGTAAACCCAAGTAAATTCCTGGTAGACAACTTAGGAACTGCCCCCTAAAGACATATATTCAGGGCAACCTTAGCCCAGATAAACTCTCTAATTGCATTAATTTTTCCTCAGTTTCTTCCTTTAAGTTGATAAGTATCATGCAAAATTGTCCCAGCTGTGACCAGAGGTAGCTCTATTAAATGACTTTTATGACTCTTTGACACCATCTCATTTGTCTTTGAAAGCTTCCTTGCTTTTTGGTTCAACATGATGTTTCTGATATCAGTTGACAACATTCATAGAATTAGTAATTTCTCTAAAGAGTTCTAGTTCCCTTTAATGGAGACTTATATTTAGAGACCAAAATCTGGGTCCTAGGGATGCTCAGTGCTACTAGAGTGACATTGCTTCTTGGACTTTTTAGAGTATCACATTAAAAACATTTTTTTAAATCATAAATTCATAATGGTGCTGATTAAAATGCAACATTTTAGCCAGGTGCAGTGGCTCACACCTGAAATCCCAGAACTTTGGGAGGCTGAGGCAAGAGGATTGCCTAAGCCCATGGGTTCATGACCAGCCAGGACAATGTGGCAAGACCTCGTCTCTACAATAAATCAAAAAAACAGCCAGGTGTGGTGGCACATTCCTGTAGGTCCAGCTACTTGGAAGGCTGAGGTGGAAGGATTACCTGAGCCCAGCAGATTGAGGTTGCTGTGTCTGTGAATGTGCCACTGTACTGCAGCCTGGTTGACAGAGTGAGACTCAGACTCAAATAAATAAATAAATAAATAAATAAATAAATAAATAAATAAATAAATAAAATGTAACATTTTAGTGTTTTTTTTTTTCCATTTTGACTTACATATTTCTTCCCTCTTAAATTAAAACTCCTATTTCCAAATAAAATTAGCATTTGGTTTATCCTAGAATGTACGTAAAATGGTTTTAGAATAACAATACAAATGTTGGCAATAAGACTACAAAGTAAAGTTTAAGGTTTCATTGCATTTCTTTTTATCTTAAATCCCACTATCTAATAAGTAGAGATGAGGACTGAGACTGGCCAAACTTCTCCATAAAATTAATGGTTACATTTTTTTGAATAAACATAGAAATTGACCCTCCCATTCGTTTTTTTTTTTTTTTTTTTGAGTTGGAGTCTCACTCTGTCACCCAGACTGGAGTGCAGTGGCTGCTCCCAGCTACCACAGCCTCAACCTGCTGGGCTCCAGTGATTCTTGCACCTCAGCCTTCCAAGTAACTGGAATTACAGGCGCATGCTACCACGCCTGGCTAATTTTTTTATTTATTGTAGAGATGAGGTCTCACCAAGTTGCCCAGGCGGG